ACACACACACACACACACACACACACACACACACACACACACACACAGAAAAGATAAGCTGTTTAAGGATTTTCAACATCCACATTAAGTCATCAAATATTAAAACCACATCTCTTTGTGACACTGATTTGATAAAATAATCAGAAAAATACAGATGTGTTCAGAGTGGGAACGCAGCAACTTAAGTATTAAAAAAATGTAAATTAAAAGAGTTACATGACAAGTTTGACAAACTGTGTATACAAACACAGTATAAGACATCTTTACAAAAACAACCTGGAGACACTAGAGTGGAAACACATCCTCGCATGTAAACAGTGTTTTAAAAAAACAGACGGCTCAGTGTGGATACTACCGTTTCCGATAGTAGTACTCGTATTGGCAGTCACAGTATTTGTAGCAGTCATAGTTGAGTTACCCGTCTGTGCAGCGGCGGATGAACTGTTGACTTCCTCCTCCAAACACTCGCTCTGCCTGGTAGCTGCACACAAACAGAGTGATCATCACACCTGTTGTTTAGTCAGCAATAAGAGTTCCAGTGGTGCAAAGTAACGAAGTACATTTACTCGAGTACTGTACTGTATTTCCATTTCATGTTTATACTTCACCACATGTATTTTGCAGCAACAGCAGCTAACAACTTTATATCATAATTTTGCCGTTTGACTCTAAATGGACCATAATGTACTAAATGAACATCATGCTGTATTGATGAAGACTTGAAACTAGAGATTGCGACCATAAACTCATGTTTACAATGTTTACTGAGGTAATAAATCAAGAGAGAAGTAGAGTCATTTTCTCATAGTTCTTCCTCAATAAGTACTTTTACTTTTGATACTGTCAATACATTCTGATAATACTTTAATTAAGTAGAATTGTAAATACAGTACATTAACTTTTTTATTTATATTTGACATTACAACATTGTTGTATTGGCACTTTTACTTCAGTAAAGGATCTTTGTACTTCTTCCACCACTGCAGAGTTTGATTGACAGTTTTCACACCCTGAGAATGTGTTTCAGTTTTATCGTAGTGCAATTATTTGTATTTGTATTGCAGTAATATTGCAGTAGTACTACAGCTCACCGCTGGTCTCCAGCGTCTCCTGCTGTCTTCCGCCGTCGTTGTTGTGTGTTGTCTTTTGCTGCTCTGCCTGGTTCTTCAACTGCAAATACACACAGAAGTCAAACACTGACACAGCTAAATTATCAGACGACAGTAATAACTTCGTTGTGGATAAAACGACTGAGGAATCGTGCCCCGTTTGTGTTCTGACCTTCTGCTTCTCCTTCACTGTGTCCTGCTTGTACCGTCTCTCCAGCATCTCTCTCTCCAGCGCCAGCCTCCTCTCTTCCTCCTCCAACTCCTCCCTCCTCCTCGCCTCCTCTCTCCTCCTCTGCAGCCGACGCTCCTCCACCTGGGCCTCGATCGCTCGCTGTGGGCGGATGGTAAAATATTCAGGAAGTGATAAAACCTCACTGCATTCCTCCTCATCCTCCTCATCTTCCTCATCTTCCTCCTCCTACCTGCAGCTCCAGCTGCTTGAGCCTCCTCCTGTCTCTCTCTTCTATCTGGGCGGGGTCCAGCAGGGCGGTCATGGTCCTCAGATGGCTGGAAGTAAACAGGAGAACAAAGATCACTAAACATTTACTGGTAAACATTTGGAGCGAGCCTGGTTCAGGACCTCCGACTCACTGCCCACATCCTCGATTTGTTCAGAAACTCTCTTTTGAAGGTTAGATTAATTCCAGAAAAATACCAAAAGTGGGACAAATTAACTGAGTTTCAGCCACAGACTGTATGTAAGAAGTAGACGTAGTCGTGGTGACATCAACCATTGGTTTGTAAACTGCCATTTTTGAAGCCCCGAGTTCGGCATTTTGGTCGTAACTACCTTGTTTTTTTGCCACCAGTGAAGAGAAGTTAACACAATTGGACTGAGGAGGAGTGACGTAGAGCCGCCGTATACGTCTCTGGTAATCTATCTTGGTAACCTGTCAATCACCGTGTTGCCCCGCCTTATGGTCTACTTGACTCTAAATGGACCATAAGTTACTAAATGAACATCATGCTGTATTGAAGAAGACTTGAAACTAGAGATTGAGACCATAAACTCATGTTTACAATGTTTACTGAGGTAATAAATCAAGAGAGAAGTAGAGTCATTTTCTCACAGACTTCTATACAACCAGAGGAGTCGCCCCCTGATGGACATTAGAGAGAATGCAGGTTTAAGGCACTTCTGCATTTGCTTCACTCCACAGAACCAGAGGTTGCCTCCTGGTTTCAGCTCATTGTTTGTCTGTCCGACTCACAGATCTACTGTTTTGGTTTTCTTTCACCACTTTGTGACATTCACGGATCCATAAACTGGTTAAAATACACATTTTTTTCAGAGTTGTTCATACGCTCCTCAACCCTCGGTGCCTCCTGCCCTCTCACCCCTTCCTCCTACCTGGCTCTGGTCGGGTGTCCGCTGGTTGTATCTACGCTGGCTCTCCCCACACTCTCTGCTCCACAGCTGCTGGCGGCCTCCCAGACCAGGGACAGGCTGGACGAGGGCTCCCACTCCCCTCGCTCAGAGACAATGGACGGAGCTGGAGGTGGAGCTGAAGGAGGTGGAGCTGAAGGAGCTGCAGTCTGGACTGGAGGTCGTCTCAGAGAGTCAAAGTGTGTCGCCCAGAGCTCGTGGTCCACCATCTGCAGAGACACGTTCAAACAGTAATGAAGCTGAAACACAGTGAAACATTAACACGTCTCTACTGTACCTGGCTCTGGTCTCTACTGGGTCTCTATTGTACCTGGCTCTGGTGTCTACTGTCTCCACTGTACCTGGCTCTGGTCTCTACTGTACCTGGCTCTGGTCTCTACTGGGTCTCTACTGTACCTGGCTCTGGTCTCTACTGGGTCTCTACTGTACCTGGCTCTGCAGCAGCTTCTCTCGTCTCCTGCGTTCACTCGTCTCCTCTCTCTGCTGGTCCAGCTCCTCCAGCCAGCGTCTCCTCTGCTCTTCTCTCCTCTCGGCACTCAGCAGCTCCTCCATCGGCGTGACCTCCTGAAGAGACGACACAGTTGTTTTTAAAGGACCACGACACCCTGAGCCACAGTGCTCATCGAGGTGTGTAAATAGTTTTCGGATAACAATTGAGGCACAAAGGAAGTATCACTGTCAGCAGTGTGGAGGGATACAAGAAGAAAGGCTCCATCAGGTTTGTGGACACCTTGATGAAAAATCAAACAAAAGAGCTGCATCCAGGAGTCAGCTTTTGGTTACCAAAAAAAAAAAATATGAGAGAGAGAGAGAGAGAGAGAGAGAGAGAGAGAGAGAGAGAGAGAGAATTTAAGATACAGCTATACATTAGCCTAATGAAAATGTGTGTATTCATAACGTGTATGTTGTAAATGCTTTGCAGTCTAATTTTCCATCAAAGATGTCGGGATACTTCTCCTCCCAACACTTCACAACTTTCCTTTTTGTTTTCACGTTCATCTGGTTCTTTGTCAGTTGAATGAATTTGTTCATCATGGCGTTGATCTTTTTTCTAATTTCATTCTACGGCAAAAAAAAAGTAACGGCAACATTTAAATGTCACTAACATTCATTTATTTTTGGGGTGCTCTGTTCTAATGTCTCTAATTTTACATGTCAAAGACAACCTGGCAACCCGCTCTGGCTGCAGTGTGCAGATATGCTGCTCAGTGGGACAAAGACTTTACCCCGAGTCTGAGGCTGGATCTGATGGCTGCATGCTGATCTCTGTGGCTGACGGAGCTCTGAACTGAGAACACACTCTCTGTGTCCTCCTCGGCCTGAAAAACACACACACACACACACACACACACACACACACACACAGTGAAATATATAATAGAAAGTAAATGTGTTTCCAGTCTTTCTCAACGTTGGACTTTGCTGAGTGCCAGGATTAATAAACCTGATATATTTAACTGAATATGTCGGTGAACATATTAATGTGTTGTTCTTCTTTTTTCCCCACAGCAATGAAAACAACCCCAACAAAGTGAAACCCTAGAGATAGAAGGTGAGAGAGAGAACGCCGTACCTGAAGTCTGCCAGGAGCCGAGCACTGCTGCTTCAACGCCACTTGCTCATCTAACACACACACACACACACACACACACACACACACACACACACACACACACACAGTGTGGGATTATACATTTAGAATAAGTTATGGTTGTGATCTGGATTGATCTATTACCTTTTAAGTAAGACTGGGAAACATATTGATATTATATCGATATTTTGATACGAGACTAGATAAAGTCTTGGATGTAGGATAATGCTAAGGTTTTAAAAGCTTCATTACAGTAGAGTGATGTAATTTAAAACATATAAAGTAGTCATTATATCCACATTGATTATTTATCAAAAAAATCGAATTGTTTAATAATTTAGTAAAAGCACTAATAGTTAGAGGTATTTATACATTTAGAAACCGGGCCTCAAATCAAAGAATCATTAAAGTATTTATCTCAAACATTTAATAATTGTAACTATATTATTATTATTATCATACTTTGAAAGGCATTTTTAAGAGCTTAAAGCACAAAAAACTCAGTTAATCTGCTTCGTCGGGACCGTGCGGCTGTGGTTTGGACATAATTGGACTGATCAACCCTCCAACTGTCATTACATTCTTGCTCAAAACCGAAACAGTGATTGATCTTTGTGCAGCTAAACCAAAACTAGGAGCTAAGAGAGACTAAAACACTTAGTAAAACGTCTATAATTCTATAACTGATATAAATACTAGCGTTTTTAAAGTGTTATTGTGTGTTTACCTAGTTCTCTCCTCCACAGAGCCTTCTTGGCGTCGATGGCCGCTCTGCTTTCTGACTGTCGCTCCTCCAGCCAGCTGAACGGACATCCAGACAACCTGAACGACAGCAGTGACACTCTGCATTTAACCGCCATTGTTTAGAATTGTTTAGGTTTCTAAAAACACATCAGCGCACGAGGGGAGCCGCACTAATACTGCTTAAAGGTCTTGAAGAGTAAAACCAAAAGGGTGAATTGTGAAACTAAACATCTAACCCGAAAACATAATTTTATTGTTTGTTGAAGAGAAAACAATGTTTATTTTGTCCTCATATCGTTCCTGACGTGTTTATTAAACAGCAAAGACATGAAGAAGTGGAGTACAGGTCTGGTCTTACCACAGTTTGACCGTATTTACGGTGATCTAAGAAGAGAAGCTTGACCTCAACATTTACTGCAAATGTATTTAAATAGATATTTCAATGTCTTCTTCAAGGGTTGCTCCTCACCTGTTGTCTTTATCCTGTGATCTTCCACTTGTATCAGTTCCTCCTCCTCTATCTTCCTCCTTCATCTCTCCTCCTTCTCCTCCATTCATTGAGGAGCCAGCTTCTTTTAAGTCTGTTTGATTTACTAGAGAAGAAAAAGACATGAAGTTGTACATTATATTGACTAAGAGGGAAGGTCCAGTGTCTAATACTGTTATGTTTGTTCCCTCTGTGCTGTAGCCGCCATCACCACTAACAACCATCACTACCAGTACCCTGAGTCTGGTGGTCCTCTGGTGGGTGTGGACCAACGCTGCAGGTCTGGACTGTGTGGAGGATCTTCTGCAGCTGCTCATTGGTCACACACACCACGCTGTCCTCCAGTCCCGTTAGTCCCTCCTTTCCAGCTGCTCGTGTCCCGCTGTTCTGAGGCCGTCCTGTTTTCCCGTCAGTCCTCAGGGAGCCGACGGTAGCGCCGTGTTTGTGTCTGTCGGACTTCACCTGCAGCAAGAAAACACACAAATTAAAGGCAGAGCCGATAAACGTGCTGTCAAGAGTAAAGCAGAGAACAGGGCACGCTGTGTGACACTTACCTTGGCCATAACTTTGACGCTTAGTCCTTTGTGATGCTCTTGTGTCTTGGATGATGTCAGAGTGCTGCTCCTACCCCCAGTGGTGGTGGTGTTGGAGGTAAAGGAGGCGGCTGCTCCTCCTGCCTTGCTCTTGGTTTCTTTGTGCCTCCCTGACTGCTGCTGGCGGGCTGGCCGCTGCTCTCTCTGCACCTCCTCCACACAGGACGGCTGTCTGGAGCTCAGGACGTTAGCCGCTCTGGGCCTAAAGGACAGCTGCTGAGATTGAGTTTAATCAAACAGATGAGACGGCATTATCCTTCCAGCATTGTTGTTAATTGTAAACATAAACTTGCGCTGTATACTTCATTATGTTGTACTGTAAGGATGATTCCTACCTTTGCTGGATTCTTCTCCACGCCTGCAGTGGAAGAAAGACGCGACAGTAAGGAGTCATGAATATTACATTACACACACACACACACACACACACACACATGCATGTTCACTAAAACCTCTGTGGGTCTAACATAAGGCAAAGCAAACAACTTAATTCTGAACTTGAACACCAGCCAACAGTTTTAAGATACTTATTAATGTCCTGCGTGGATATGAGGGGTGAATGTTATCATAATAGCAATTAGTAAAACTAAACACATTACAAACTGAAACACAGTTTAACATAAAACAGCACACTAAAGTCAAAACTGTTGTCAAATTGTCACTAATTAGTTTTCTGGTATATAACTAACTGATCAACTTCATTTTCTGCAAAGATTAGTTTAATACCTTTTTTTTAAACTAAGTGAACATAAGGAGCGAACAAGAAAAGCACATAAGTGAGTGAGTATCTCTGGAAAACTCAAGATTATAAGAGCAGAAAGTTCTCACCACGACTCAGTAGAATCAACTTGGGTTTTCCATTTTCAAGTTCAAACAGCAGGCCGTCTCTGTTCACGAACAGGGAAATACAACAACATGAAAGTAGTAAGCAGACCGACAAATGTAAATAACAATAATGTTTTCAACTGTCCTGTATTTTTATTGTGGTTATAATTTAATGCCGTCTTGCTGAAAATATAATTTCCTAAACTGATGAACTAAAGTGAACAGACAGGTCTGTGAATTAGTGCCGAGTTAGGGCCGAGTCAGTGCTGTACTCAGCAGAAACCGGAAAGCCACAGATTTCAGTCTTTTAACAGCTGGAATATTTGTTTATTTACAAAGTCTCAGTCAGACGTAATTTAATAAATATTCCAGCAATAAGTGAGCCAGTGTGTGGGAGTTTCCTTCAAAGTATCTGTCTGCACCTCCATACCTGCAGAGCCCAGGAATACAAATTGTCAAATCATATTTAAGTTGCTTTTGGAGTCTTAGGTAACTGCTTGTGTTACATAGGCTTATAATATCGTCTCATATCAATTGCAGGCCTGAAATGAATCAAATCGAAAATCGTGGCAGACTTGGTGATATCAGCAAATATAGTATTGTTGTCGAAAGAAGTAATATAATATTGCATCATGATGAAACCTGTGATTTACATTTACATACGTGCACTCTGCACGTTTGATCAGCAATGTTGTATGTTTGACGTAAAGCGTTTTGTTTGGTCGTAAACAATAAAACCCTGTGCATTTCACTGCGACACATTCGGTCAGTGTGTTAGCCTAGCTAGCTAGTAGCTAACTAACGGAATTTAAAAAAAGATAAACGAAAAGAAACTCACCCGAGATTCATGCTGACAAAAAAGAGGTTTACCGTAAAGGCGGCACGTTTACCGAAAACCTTATAAAGACAGAAACAGATGCTTAATAAATAATTTAAGATTTAATCAAAGCGCTTCAGACCAGCTCAGAGCTGGCCGCTCTGCCAGTTCCTGGTTTGTTTAAATTGTGTACGTCGGTTGCTGACAACGACCAAGAACGACTTCACCGATTGGCTTATTATTTTCCATTGTAAAAGTAACAGCCAATCAAACGCCACCATTTTGACGTTTACGTTTGACGATGCGTTTAGGGTAACTGGGAATTTATTTGAAAACAAAATATAACGATTAATTTACCTTACGACTTAACAATACTACTACTTCGTTAACGATCACAATAGCTAATATACTTATATGTTATATACTTAAATGTATTACCATATATAGGGACTATTAATTTACATTAATGTGGACAATGTGCTTATGTTTAAATATTCTCATTGCTATTTCCTACCCTAGTGTAGCTCATGAATCTTTCCATGTTTTGTGGTTGTTTACATGTTATGGTAATTGTTTAGACTTTACTTGTGAGTTATTGGCACACTAATTTCATTACTTGTTAGTTGTATGACACTATTTTAGTTAGTCCATCAGTGGCGGTCTAGTATTTACTAATATACGTAGACGTTTTTTGGTAATAACCTGTAGTTATTACCTTTTTATAACGTTTAAATAACTAGTATTAGTTAGTAATGGCTACTAAGTAGAGTACTTACTTTAGATAATCTAATTAGCAAAACAGGAAGGAGGAGGAGAAGGAAGAGGAGAAGAAGAGGAGGAGTTATTAGAGAGCTGTAGAACCACCAGCAGCATGTAGATGGCGCCAAAGCGTCGTGATCATGTAAATGAGGTGTAAAAAACAAACAGGCTGCGTTAGCTTCACTGTAATGACGTTAGCCTCCTGGATGTTTCTTTTTTTTTCCGCCGTTAACGAGTCTGGATACCGAGGACTGACATCCATGCACCTCTCCGGCTGCCTGAAGCACAACAAGCACCACCGTGACCTCCGTTATTATCAGCTCAGCGTCCACCGGACGATCCTGAAGGTTTGTTGTTATTGTGACAGCTCCGACTGCGTAACGTCAAACCGTGATGTTAGCTATCTAAGCTAGCGTTAGCATGCGAGGCTACCTAAACGTGTCGAACTAACGTCAGTGTTTTCCATCAGTGACGAGCAGCAGTTAAAAGAAGAAAGGTGGGGGATTTTAAAGCGAGATTAGTTTTAACATTTATTATAATAAACTGATTTAAAGACTAGCTGACTTAGCCACAGCTAGCGTGTTGTCAAGCTAAGGTCAAGAAGCTGGCCAGTCTGACAGATAAGCTAACCAGCTAACGGCTAACTAACATGGTACCCAGGTGTCTATAAACGTGTTGTGTGGCAGCTATAGACACACCGCTAACCTTACACCAGGTAACAGCAACACTGTGACCAGGGTGACATTGGAGGATGGGCTGGTAACGTTATCAAGATTTAGAGGTGGGTTCTTAAAAGTTGCATTAGCTTGAAGTTAGCTCGGTTTGATTGCTTTTATTAGGTTTCATTAGCTGACCACGCTGCTATGTGTCAATACAACGGATGCAGTTATTGCCTCATCATGCAGCTCTATAATTACCATGATGTTTGTAAATAAACAAACTGTCATTGGTCTCTTCTCTGGACTGTCTCACTGGTGGCTTAATAGACAGGTAGGTGGATGGATAGGTAGGTAGGTAGGTGGGTGGATTATGGTACAGGTAAATAAAATAACAGAGTAAAAATATTAAATATCAAATGCACAATATATACAATGAAATAGAATAATATTAAATTAACTAACTAAACAGTAGTGCAAAGATTTAACCAAACAAACAACAGAGTTGGTATAGTTTTGTGATTGATTTGACCAGAGCGGTGATTCATTGTACAGTCTTATTGCAGTGAATGTGTCGTTTGTTTTGTTGTATTTTTGGCCTATATGCGCTGCTGAATATCCTGGTGGAAACAACCAGTCTTTCCTCTTGTCATCTGCACCAGATTTATTGTGATTGTATAAAAGTATTGTCAACGTTCGAGAGGAAAGAAAGCGAGACTTCCTCTCTGTCTGCCTAGTTTCTCTCAACATCAGTGGATGTCGAGAGCAATTACATGATAACGTAGCCCTAGTTTGTGCCTTTCTCTTGGTCGAATCCTCAACTCTTCTATCTGTCTGGAGTTATGTTCATTTAACATTTTTTTTGGTCACAAAGAATGTAGTGCTTGAGTATTTATAAAGATGCAGTGTTTGTGTATCAGTTGTAAAGTGTTTTGGTCACATTTGGATACCTGATCCGTTTAGAAAGGTGAACATTTGTGCTGATTCTGTTTCGGTGTATTCGATTAGTGCGATGGACCAGAAATCACAACTGTTGGAAGACATTCTGATGTAAATAAAATTTTACTTATACCTCTATTATCTATTCATTTGGTTATCATGCCGAACAAGCACCGCTTCACCCGGCTTTATCTTAAATAAGGTGCTCGGATAACTGATAGAACAGATATCCGCACACTTAAATCTCTGCAGAGAACACTTTATTTTTTAGCTTTCGGTCTTAAAGGACCTTCATCATAGCGTTCGTGGTTCAGGGACATACCTCTACCACTCGTCATCCCTTTATCACCTCAACAAAGTGCCGAGAAAAACAAAATCCTTTTCCAAACTCTCAGCTCTTTCTCCTGCGGTGCCTTCTGCAGAACGTAAACAAACCTCAGCCAGGCTCGCTGTCTGCACTTATAACACCAGACCATAAATATGAAAATGATGTGTGACAAAGTTCTGTCGGCAGTATAATTGAGACTAAAGTCTATAATTTGAATGGAGAAAGACTTGTAGGTTAGCTGGCTAACTTTGGGCTTACGGCTGGATTTTGGTCCCACAAAAAGATCCTAATATGCTACCAAAGACGACATAGTGAAGGACTGTTGTAGAAACAGAAGTCCTACTGGTTATAAAACAGAGCTTCTAACTAATAGTGTTTAGTTACCGTATCAGTAATCAATACAACGTCCTGTTACATATGAAATGAGCTGAAATGGTTTATTAATAACTCCCAGTGTCGTCTGTTTTCCTCATCTTCCATCAGAGCAGCGCTGAGGAACATGAGGTGACCTGATGAGTAGAAAGTCTTTATAGAGGAAATCCGATGACGGTGTCACATAAATGGAAAATATTCCCACCGTGAAGTAATGACAAAAGGAAGACTAGTATGTGTTGAAAAGTCATATTTTATTCACACACATCAGTCACACAGAATCATCAGAAGAAATCTGTTAAGTTCAACAAATACACTTAATCCAACACAGCAGCTCAGCTTCAGTCTTGCTTATTGTATACTTTATTATATTTCTACTATGTTGCTACGTTAAAGTCGAGATCAAATGGGGAAAATGCCTTTTAAACACCTTTTAGTTTAAATCCCTGGTCAAATTGTGCACCTATCGTCATTTTTATTATAGTCCAATATTGATTTGTCCTGTAGAGCGTGAGTCTGTGGTTGGAATATTGATTCCGACAATCGGACATGCAGCGAGCAGACATCTTGATGCTGTTTGTTTTAATTCAATGTCTGGATGTCTGGGACAAATCACCACGTCTGTTGCCAACATGTGCAGCATATTTTCGATGACGTCGGCTGTAAAAGGGTCTGCATACCTCCTTATTATTATTTTTCACTTCTCTATTTATCTGCACCTATTTCTGTCTTTGTGATGCTGTATCATTTTTTAATTTCCCCTCTGGATCAATAAAGGCTTATCTTATGTTAAAGTCCTTTGCAGAGATAATACTGTTCAGTTTGGATTCACGCTGTCAGAGAGGTATTCATTTAACTATACTTGTATTAGCTTGTGGTTTGGTGAGGTGTTGGACAGTGTTTTATTATCGTTAATATTTTGCACAAAATCAAAAATAACGACCATGAGAGGAAAACACGGTTATACCAACACCAATGTCTTGATGGTTGTTTTGACGGTTCGGAGGTCTTCCTCGTCCCTCTACGATTGTTGATAGGACGGATTGTTCGTGTGTGTGTGTGTGTGTGTGTGTGTGTGTGTGTGTGTGTGTGTGTGTGTGTGTCGCTCAGCAGCTGTTGATGTGTGTCAGGGGACACGGGCAGCAGCTGCATGTGTGTTTTTATGTTTTTCCCAGTCGTAGTTTGTGTTTTTTGGGACTGACTGATGTGTTCGGGGTTTCTCTCCCACGGGGCTGCATGATACAGAGAAAGAGCCGGATCTCTTTTCCTTCCCTGCCTACTCGTGTATCCTTTCTTTAATCGCTTCCTCTGTCTTCCTCAGCTCCTCCTTTCCTTCATTCTTTCCTTCCCTCGCTTTTATTTCGTCCATCACCTCTTCCCATCATGATTTTCTTTCTTTCTTTCCTTCACTTCCTTTCATCCCCTACTCCATATTCCTTAATGATCTCCTTGCCTTCATTACGTCTTTCATTCCTTCATCTTCATCCTCAGTTCCTTCACAACCTTTTACTTTACTACCTCCTGTCCCTCCTTCTTTCATTACTTCCTTCTCCGCCTCATTTTTTTCCATTGCTCCACGGCCTAATTGATTATCTGTCACACTTGAACTGAGGTCTCTATCTTCTGCTCATCTAATTTACTTGGTGTGTGTGTGCGTGTGTGTGCGTCAGCAGTAGCTACCTCCAGCCCTTATTTAGCATCATTTATCCTGGTTATGCTACACTTCACTAATGCAACCACTCAGCAGTAACGCACACATATATACACACACACACACACACACACACACACACACGAAAGCTGCTGAGTTAAGACATGATGGGAATGATGATGATGATGTCTTGGCTCTTGCTCCTGACTTGTCTCGTTTAGTGCAACTAACAGTCCAAAACCCAAAGACATTACATTTATTGAAATGTTTAAACAGAAGAAATCTGACAGCTTTCACACATGAGAAGCTGAAACTATACAATTCTTTCACAGTTTTTGCTTTAAAAACATATTTATATATTTAATACATGAGCTCAGTATTGTTGCTCAGAAAATAATATTCTGATGATCGACTCCTCGACTCGTTTTTGGAGCCTAGCTTCAGAATATATCTGGTTTTAACA